TCAATAAATGCTAAGTTGAGAAATTTTGTGTATCGCTTGTTATTATTAGTGATATTTTATCATGCAAATAGAGCAGAAAACGTCCAATTTTCGGCCAAAAAATATCGGCAGCATATATCGGCCATCGGCTGACCCTGACTCCTAAATATCGTCATCGGCATCGGCTATTGAAAAACCCATATCGGTCGACCTCTAAGTGAGACAATATCACATTACACCAGGACAGAAACTGGGACAGTTTCCCCAACCCCATCCCCAGAGCCCATGACTCCCCGGGACCCACCATGTCTCCCATATGGGACTGAAAGTCGAAGCGCACTGGGGGGCAGAAGACGTGATTGTAGGTCTCCATGAGGCGCTGCTTGTCACTGTTGGCCTCCAGGTTCTCGGCCGCACTCTCGATGGCCTCCAGGCCTCCATGCTTCGACGTCTCCACGTTGAACTCGGCCGAGAGGTAGGTGCGGAGAGCCCGGTTCAGGCTGGCATGGTAGCCCAGGTCACAGCACTGCAGAAGGCAGGAAGAGGAGGGGCTTAGCACCCAGGCTACAGCGACACCCACATGTGACTGAACACGCCACAGGGCCAACAGCTAATAACCCATTCAAACAAAAATATTCATTACTGTTACCTCCACACCTCCGGAAAGGACAGCACTGAATTAAAGAGCTTCACTCGAAGCTATTGCTGAAAATGTACAGCAGCGGTGAAGGAACCTGTCAGCCTGCGCAACTATGCCGTCCCATGTACAACAAGCAGAACCGCGAGGTCATCATTAAATCCTATATGCACCGCTAACGACCCGTCCATTCCATAACGAGCATGCTGCCTGCTCCTCACTCTGCATCAGTGCACGCGACCTGCTCCACCCCATAATGAAGGCCATGATTCATATCCATGGCTGAAAAGAGCATCTGACGAGCTTCCAGTAACACATGCCGGCGAGCCGTCTCCCGAGGGAATTCGTCTGACTGACAGGAGCAATCTGACAGCATTAGTTCTTATACGTCTTATTCAGGAGCCCAGTGACAGTAATACAACTTGATATACTTTGAGTCACGCTCTTTTAGGCTGTAAATCCCAGCTGCGAGTAAGGTCACAGAGTGATGTACAAATAAGATGAAATGGACCGGCCTAAATGCTCATGTCATCAAATGAATAACTGCAAATACGTCAATACAGATGTTTAGCACTGTAAGACTTAAAAATCTTGTTAGGGACAGTTGATGAAGCCCATAGAACAGATCTACTTTATTATAGCCGATTTTAATGGTAGGGCCCACACGTTCCCTGCAGGTGCAAGAGGTTTTTGTCCAATCTTAGCTTGTAATTGCCTTACTGAAGTAATTATTTAGATTGTAAATGAGCTTAGCTAATGCCTTGGATTTTTTTCCCCATGTACTATGAAATTCCAGGGCTGCCATTAATAAAATGAGGTGGCACTGAGAGTCCAGGACATTAGTTAAATGGACTATGAGTCCAGGGTGTAGTGTTCAAGTGTCAACCAGTTTGGGACAGATGGCACAGGCCTGCTTACGTCAATGAGGTCGGAGAGATCGTGGATGTAGTACTTGAAGACGCAGCAGTTGGTGGCCTCCAGCGCTAGGAGGTACTCGTTGCGGGCCTTGATGGCTTTCAGCTTGTTTTCAGTGTATTTGGCTTGGCGCTGAGGGACAGGGAGAGAGGAGAGTCAGAAAGGGCCCGGGAGAAAAAGAAAACCTAATCAAAATGTACCAAACTGAATTGCCCCATGAGGGATGGAGCACATCTCGGAATCGACAGGAAGGGAAAGCTGGGAAGGTGCCCAGGATGCTACGCGAAATGCCGCTACCTCCAGGAACGGCAAGCCAAGGCAACTCGATAAAAGCCAGGCCAGATGTGGCGGTGATGACACAAAGCCTGGGGCACTGACCGTCATTCAGTCTCTCACAGGCA